AATCAGTTACCCCCTCCAAATATGTGATCTTGGAAAATTCTAAAGACGGGGATATATGTGCAACCCTCAATCCCAAGTGTGTTCCATGGGACGATATATTTGTAGATATTCCTGCCGATATTATTATTGATGACAATGGTCTAATCGACAAAAAGTTTGATGCTAGTTTAATGGAAATTGATGGGTCTTGCTGGCGATGTAAAAAGGCGGTTTCTTCCTATGAATCCGATGACCACTTATTATATTGTCCGAAAATTTTGTCGTGATGATTTTGATACATTCTGTATTGAGCAAGCCAAATTGTATAATGTAACTGATTGTGATATCGAAGCTGTTGCTGCTGGATATTGTCAACTTGAAATGGATCTCTCTGACATTAACAATGTATTCCCTAAAGTTTCCCAATTCGAAAGTTTTATTCATGATCTTGAACTCTTTCTTGATAACTTTGCCTCCAAAGTTTATAGTAGTTTAAATATTTCTGGACAACGTAAACGCTTTAGTATTTTGAACTATAAGTAACTTATCTTTTCGACCTGATCCGATGAACTCATGTGTATACATTATGTATCCTCATCCTAATTATCTTTGTCACCTATGTTAATAGTGCGCTTATATAGAACCTATTTAGTACCTATGTAATCTTTTATACTCTTTTCTGAATAAATTATAACGATCTGTTCTTATCAGCTTAATATCTGATATGTTAGGCAATGCCTAACTCATATATTAAACTGATTTTTGGACTTCGGCCATGGGATTCAAGCTTGCTTCGCCCTGGCCACGGGTTGTCTCGGTATTGCACTACATCCGAGTACGGCCCCTTCCCCACTCGGGGAAGAACATTTTTTTATCTCAAAAACAAATCAAACTATAAAGCAATCTCTAGGTTATTAAACGATTACACACACACTTAAGTACACGGGGGTTTTCACATGCCGATAGATTATTAACACCATACCAGAATACCACGTGAAATAATCACGGCTTTCTCATGCATATATAAAACATAACATATGTATCATATGACTTGTAACACTTTATTATTATCCTATTTCGATATTTTACACCTTGTGAGCGCGTGTTTTCATTCAACTATGAACCGAATCGACTATATATCATTTTACTAACATACTTTTTCATTCTCTAGACCGCGGCACATGACGTTCAAGACAAGAGGGAAACCCCCGACCTACCACAATCGCTAGGAGGTCCTCGACTAGGAGCTCCTCTCAGGATGAGGCCCTTTCATTGCACTTCGACTGGGTTGACTCCTGCGATTACCCCTAATGTGGGTAACTCGAGCGTATAATTTCTGGTAGTGGGGACCTGCGTTCGCGCTCGTCCCCTTCAACATATAATATTCATGTATAAATATATAAAGCCATTTTTTTATAACACTGCTGTGTGTCGATTGTTTTTGTATAGATTCAGATGTCAAACATATCACATTTATCACAGAAGACACTCTTTATATACTCTCCGTGCCGAAATCTCGCGGTGAACCGCGAAAGTCGCGGTGGCCGATCACCACGGACTTGCCATGCTCGTGCGACGAGTAATCGAGCGCTTGTCGACGTCATAATCGCTCGCAACCGAGCTCCTTCTCACCGCGTTTTGTAGGACAAGTGTTCGGTAGAAATATGTGTGGCAAACGGCGAAGAAGGCATCGCTTCTCGGCCTTTTGGCTAAGATCAAGTGTAGGTCTTAGTGCTCCGTTAAATTTTCCAAATTTTTAGACAAATTTTTGTTTATAAGGCCATAGCTATATATTAAATTGTTTGTAAAAGACTCGTGAACCTGTTTGTTGGATTTTCAAAGGGTTATTGTATCGTTTTAAAGTTTTATTTGGATTTATATGTATGCTCTGGAATAATTGTTGTGCGTACGCTGTAAATTCTGGAAATTGGTATTTGGCTAATTTCTCGTGGAATACATTTTGGATTCGAGTGAAATTTACTCTGTGATCTACGTTTTGTGTTTATATTATCCTGTGAAAGTTTGGTATTCGTACGACGTATTGTTCTGGAGTTATATGGATTTGTTCGTTTTGGCCGTTAGATAATTTTTTAATTCAGACCTGCCTAATTTGTTCTGTTCGTATCGTCATTTCACATAATATTTGTATCCTTCGTTCGTCAGTTCTGTTATTCGTCGCTGGATTCAGTTTTCTTTCTTCATTGGGAACATTTTGATATATAATTCTGTACTGTTGTGTATTATTTCCGTACTGTTTTACGTGTTTTTGGAGTCGCGCATTGTTCAGTTTGTATTAATATGTCAAG